TTTTCTCTCTTTTCCCCCAAAGTGACTGTGAATAAACTTGATCTCTAGGCATTTGCTTTTGCTGAGATTTCAAAAAAGTGAGATTATATAATAAATGTCCTTTCAGCAGAATGTTTAAAAGGTTCATTCATGTCTTAGCATGCATCACAACTTCATTCCTCTTTCTGGCTGAGTAAATAGTCTGCTATATGGATTTACCACATTCTGTCTGTTCGTTAATTGGTGTTGCTCTTGATTTGTTTCCACTTTTGAGTGTTGCAGATACTGTTGCACTGAATAGCTGATCCCTGCTTTCAAGTCCAGTTTTGAGCCCGTCTCTCAGGTTCAAATTGTTGGGCCATAAGGTAGTTCTATGCTTAACTTTCTGAGGTGTTTTCCATAATGCCTGTTATGCTTCACAGGCCCACCAGCAGTGGGCTTTTTAGCTGACCAAGGAGCCTTCCTTTCCAACATCATCGAGGTCCTCAGAAGCAGAGAGGCAGACTACAAAGGTGACTGTCCACTGCCATCAAGTTGATTTTGACTCAGGTTCACCCTTCATTGGGGTTTTTTGAGGCTATAAATGTTTACCTATCTTTCTCCTGAGGAGCAGCTGGTGGATTTGAACCACTGACCATACAGTTAGCATCACAGCATGTAATGCCCCGTGCCACCAGAACTCAGGTGCACACAGCCAGTCCTTGCAGCTTATGAAGCCTCTGGAGTTGAGTGATTCTCTATGGAGGGCTGTCCTGCACTCTGGGACCAGTCTCCCTCCAGTATAGACATGGATTTGGCGTGGTCTGGAGAGGGCAAACCAAGTCAGAGGCCACAAAACCACAGCTCCTCACCATCTGTTCTTATTTTCAGTCCTGATTCTGCTCCACTTAGAATCCCTGTTGAGTGTCTGCTCAGTGTGGGGAGGAGAGCAGGGAGTGCGCCCAGCCACCTCCAAAGCTAGCAGGCCATGGGTGGGGCCGGCCCTGCCCTGTGACATGTCACATGCACAGGGACCACCTTCTGCCTCTTCCCTCCATCCCAGCTGATCTGGCTTCTGTGCTTCTCCAAGGGCAAGGTCTTGCAGGTCTGCACCTGGCCTTTCCTCCAGGAAGTCTTCCCTGGCTGGGGCTCCACCTCTAGGACCAGGCAGCAGGATTGTGTAATGCATCTCAGAGCACTGGCTGTGGGGTAGACTGCTGGCTTAGTTTCCTGTTGATCGTTTATTAGCGCTTCCATGACCTTGCCCTAAAGTAAAGAGTTGCACTGCCAACCCAAGGGCAGGTGGTTCAAATCTCCCAGCTGTTCCTCAGGAAAAAGATGGGCAGTCTCCTTATGTGTGATTGATAGCCTCTGCAGACCTGCTGGAGGGTCAACTATGAGTCAGTTCCCACTCAGCAGGACTTAACAGGGACATAACTCAGGGGCACATAACAGCAAAGGACCTCAAGCAAGTTCATGTTTCTGAGCCTGTTTACTGCCTCTTAAAATGGGGCTAACGACTTGAGACAGTGTTTACAAAGTGCTTATTAGCACAGTCTGGTCCATTTTAATGTGCCTAATAAATGTTGTTGTTATGTGCCATTGAGTCAACTCTGACTCATATGCACGCTAGCTCTGAACCCTGCTCTATCCTAAGCCAATCTCACTGTCTCTGACACACCTACCCTCATTACTGCAGTTATTGTTAACCCATCTCATATGAGGTCTTCCTCTCCTGTGCCGTCCCTCCACTCTTCCAAGCATGATATTCTTCTCCAAACACTGGTCCCTCTGGGCTACATGTCCAAAATATGGGAAATGGAACATCAAAATCCTTGTCTACAAGGAGCAGGTTGGTTTCACCCTCTCCAGGACAGACCTGTTAGTTCTCTTGGCAGTCCTTGGTATGTTCAAAACTCTATTGCAGCACCACAACTCAAAGGCATCAATTCTTCTGTCATCCTTGGCCATTGTCAAGCTCTCTGATGTGTAGCAAGTAATTGCAAAGACCATGGCCTGGATCATGTGCATCTTAGTGTCCATACTGACATCCTTGCTCTTCAGCAAGTTGTCAGGAAGAGATCTCTGACAGGAGATTTTCTCAATGCAATTCATCTTTTGATTTCCTGGCTGCTGGTGCCAAGAGTGTTTATTGTGGAACCATGCAAGCAGAAACTGTTAACAATCTCAGTCTCTATCTATCAAGATGCTGCCAGTTGGCCCAGTGGTGAGAATCTTTGTTTTTTTAATGTTGAGCTTCAATCCATACTGCAAACTATAGTCCTTGACCCTCTGCAGTAGAAGCTTCAGGTCCTCCTCAGTTTCATCATGTAAGGTTGTGTCATCTGCATAATGCAGGTTGTTAATGAGTCTTCCTCCAATCCTGATGCCATATTTGTTCTCATAAAGTCCAGTACCTTGAATGACCTTCCTATAGCTCAAAAAGGTAAGGAGAGAGGATGCATCCCTGACACACACCTTTTCTAATTTTGAATGATGCAGTGTTTCCTTGCTCTGTTCTGATGACTGCTTCCTGGTCCAAGTATAGGTTTTGCATGAGCACAATCAGGTGTTCTGGGATTCCTGTTCTCTCTCTCTCTGAGGTTGTTATTAGGGTCTTACATGGGCTGTTGGACTCTCTCACTCTGGTGCACCTTTTTCCACCTAGTTAAAAAAAGGCTAGAGAAGGCCACTTATAGGGATTTTGTTGTCTGGTTGGACAGTACCAGGAGCCCACACTCCAATGTTAGCTCATCCTGGCGTCTTGGTAAGGGAGGTTTAGAGCTGTCATTTCACAGATAGGCAGATTAAGTGCAGAGAGACTAAGTGGTTATCTGTGGACACTCAGGCATTAAGTGGCAGAGCTGGGAGTTGAGCTCTGGCTGGTTGGCTCCAGTGTCCCTATCTGGTCACTACTGTTTTCCGCCTGATTGTACAGGCTTGGAGAAGGGAAGAGGACTTGCCCTGAGTGTCACAAGCCCTGGCTTGCCTTCTGCCTATCAGAGCTGGCCCTTCTCTGGGCATGTGTTAGGAGCTTGCTGGACACATGTGAGGATGGGAGCCATTTGGGCACCGTCATCCAGAGGGTCACACGTGATCTTCAGGTGTGAGCTAGGGGAGGGAGAGTAGTGTAGAAGGATGGAGCAGGTGTCCTGGGGGCCCCAACCTCCCTGCTGTGTCTTCGTGGACTCCAGAGAACAGTGACTTTCCCACCCCTTCCCTTTTTGCCAAGTGCTGGGGCATGAGGGGGCATGTCCTCCTGATGACCCTGTGGTTAGCAGGCCAGCTTTTGCAGGACAAGGAGAACCCTGGCTGGGTCAAGGCTGGAACAAATTGCTTCAGCCAGGCAAGCAGGCCTCTCCAGGAGGAAGTGTGAGTCACGTGGGCCTTTAGAGGTTCCAGGTGGATGAAAGGGCGTGTTGGGGACACGCCTTCACCTCCCCTGTGCTTGCAGGGGCCCAGGAGGGTTGGGTCAGTCAGTCTTCTTCCGTCCAGGTTTTACTGGAAATTCTTTGAAGTGGTTTCTGTGACCCAGTGGATGCCATATGGAACCAATTTAATAGGTTCTGACTGTTCTATTTGAAGACAAACACCCACTCATGCCCCTAGCCTTCTGTCCAGGCAGAAACCCTCAGGTTCCCCAGCAATATGATAGTAAAGTGAAGCCACTGTCCTCATCCTCAATGCCTTTTGTTTTGTTTTTTTCTTCTCCTCACTCGTCTTGGGAGGACACCATCAGTGCATCTTTGCCCATGGCTCCCTCTCTGCTCCTCAGCAGGCCACCTCCTTGCTCCTTGAGCCTCTCCTGTCTCCCTGTGAAGTCCTTTCTCCTTTTTGACACCTCCTTTTCAGAATCTCCCACTTTGAATATCCCTCCCCCCTGGAGTCCTGTTCCATCTCTCCATCCCTCCTCTTTCCCTTCCCAAAGAAAATTTGGCTTCCACATTTCTCCTCTGGTAGTTCTTGGCAGCTTTCTGTTCCCAGAGCCCTAGACTTGTTGAAAGGTGTAATTGCAGAAAGCCCTCTTCTGCTCACCCCCTCTGCCTCATCACTGCTTCCTTGTCTAGTTCCTTTGGGGTTCTTAGTACAAAACATTGCTTATTGCCCATTACGTGCTTTCATTTTGCCCGTAATTTCTGTATATTGAGTTTTTAATCCCCAATTTAGCCTCTTAGGTTAGTTTGACCTCTCTCTTAATTTCATGTCACCTGTGGTCTTGATAGGCAAAGCACACCTGTTTCTAAAGCCACTGACCAGTGGACAAATGTAAGATCTGATGTTGGACAGGGATGGGCACTCAGAGATGATCTGATGAAGCCAGACACTGGAAGGAACTTTCTCTGCAGGGCTCAGGGACACACATGTGGATGGAGTGGAGTTCAGGACTGGGTTACCTAGCTTCAGGTTTTGCCTGGAGGCCAGGCAGGTAACATCCTGACGTTGAAAGTATTTGGATTCAAACTGAACTCTGGTGGATGTGTCCACAAGCCAGGAGTTAACAATGAATAGTGTTGACCCAAAGAAGAAAAGGGGGGGGGGGGAAGAAGTACCTCACACTGTTTTGTGGCTTTAGTGAGACTGTAATGGCTCGTCATTTTGTGAGTAACTTTAACAAGCAGGCAGATAGTGGCTAAGTTACTAAGGCCTGAGCTAGAATACAGAGTGGATGCCCGAGCAGGACAGTCAGACACAGGGAACAAGTCATTCTATTGTGGTTTCATCTGTGCTCTGTTACCCTCCTTATGAAGGTACTGATAATAATCTGTGGGAAATCCCCAGGCCGCGTTCTGACCTGGGGCATGCTGCTCCCTTGCTAAGCCTTTCCCCAGGTGGCCCCAGGAGCCAGCCGCCCGGTTCCAGAGCAGGAACATGGTGCACGGGAGGTGTGGGCCAGGCACCCGCACCACTGCCAGACTTGCTGCCGTCCCTCCAGTGCAGACTTCCTTGGCCCCTGGGGCAGTTCCCATGGCCCACTGCTGGCTGTGGATGGGCAGGTGTCCCCTTTGGCGCTGGTAACAAATGGTGTCCCCTTCTGTCCTCAGGCTCCACCTACAGCGTCTTGTCCATCATGCCCTCGGACTCTGAGAGCAGCGGCTCCCTCAGCAGTGTGGGTGAGTACTACTGTCCATGCTGGATGGGGTGGCCTGTAACCCGCAGCAGCCAGGGCCACATGGGGGGCGGTAACCCTTGCTCCTCAGGTGGTTTATGGGATTATCTTCTGTTGATCTCATTCACATTTTCACACACCGACAGGGAGTCTTCTTGCTACTTCTGAAAGGGAGATGGGTGCTGGGGGAGGCACATGCTTCACTGTCTCCTGACCATGTCTGGTTTAGGACATTCAGTGAGCCTGTCCTCCTCCCCTCAGGGACCTGGGAGGGGCTTGGTGATTATGGTCTTGTAAGTGACCATGGTCCTTTGAGTGACCATTGTCCTTTGCTCATGTAAGCAGAAGCAGCCCAAGGGGTAGTGTACTGCAGTGGGGACAAGAATAGCCAGTCCATGCTGAATTGGGCGTGTTTCTGTGAACAGGAAATTCTGAAGCCGTAAACTGATGCTGCTTTATGTCTGTGGAGATACACTAGCAGGAGCATCATTGTAGACTCTCAGTCTTCTAGTACCCCTGTGACTGAATCCCTGTGTTAGATCGGCTCCGTTTAGAGTACCAGGAGGCCCGGGGTATGTACACGTTAGTATATCTGGCTGTGAACTGAGAGCCTGGAGGTTTGAGTCGGTCCTGAATTACCTCAAGAGATAGATTGGGAGGTAACAGGAACCATTGGAAACACCGTGAAGAATAATTCTTCTCTGACGCTTGTGGAGTCTCCATGGGGTTGTTGTGACAGCAAATGTTATTACTACACCCAGTGTGCCTTGTGTTCTCCTGATTAGACAAGAAGGGATATATCTTCAGTGGGGAGACCTGACCTGAAAGAGTCGTCATCTAGTCCACATATTTCACTTCCCCCTCTCTAGACGAATGGGAAAAATTGACGCATTCCTGAGATTCTAGAACCATCTAAGGCAGACCTTTCCTAGGTCAATTTAATCAGTTCTTAACCGAGCTCTGCCAGTCTGCCAGATGTTGTCCTAGCACTCATGGGCCTTACGTCTGGGAGGGAAGACAGTTAAATGAGCAAATTATGACAGACAGGCACACCAAAGGGAAGACAGGGACCAGCAGGCCCCTCTCTGTCCAGGGCTCAGGAGGACTCTCCTGGGACCACATGGTTCAGAGCTCCTCCTCTTCTTGGATAGCTTTATTCTACCTGCTTTGGCATCTAAGACCATTGATGGCGTAATGATACTTCTGGAATGCTGAATATTGAATTGGCCCCCTCTGGAAGCACACAGGGGTGAGGAGTCAAAGGTGGGATTTCATCGCCTTGGGAGCCCTGAAGGACTGAGTGCACCCGTCTGGTGTCTTTCAGCCTCACTTTTCTCAGGCTCCCTCTTTCCCCTTGGAAACAAGAAATGGTGATTAACAGCTGTTTGACCCGCACATTCACACTACAGCTTCAAGGCTCAAACTGTTACCTTTCTTGGTAGCATTTGAATTCTGAAAGGAGGCTCCAGTGGGAGAGATTGCCTCACCATAGCAGTGACTGCTAATGGTGGCCTTGTAGACCTGAGTCTTAGGAGGAGACCCCTGTGGCTGCAGTCCTCATGAGGCTTGGTGTCAGGGCCCCACTAGCTGATCTACACTTGCATGAGGCTGGTTTGCCTTGGCCTGGAGGAGTCAGCAGCACAACAAGATGTTGCTTGGGAGTTACAGGCAGGCAGACTTTCTGCAGCAGGCTGATTCCTCCCAGCAAACCCTCTGCATTTGTGGGGAACCAAGGTTCGTGCTCCCCTCTGTGGTTGATGCCGACTCTGGGTGTGCAGTTCCTTTTTCCACAGAGGGCCTTTGGCTACAATCTCACTGTATTAAACAATGAGGGTGTGCGTTTTGTCTCACACAGAAAGCAGTCCCGAGGTGGGGCCCTGGATAACTCTGCATCTGGGTGGTTCTCCTGGCCCCACCCTCCTCTCACTGGTTTCTGCCCCTCAGGCAGATGGCACGGTGCCTGCATATGCAGCTCCAGTCATCACAGCCACAGTCGAAGGTGTCCAGAGCTGAGGTGTTGAGGAGGGCTGACGCCTGTCACAGCTGGCTGTTTCAGCTCCCGAGTAATGAAACGTGAAATTAGATGGACAGTTCTGGTTTCTCAGTCTCTCTAGCCACGTTTTCAAATGTTCAGTAGCCGCATGGCTGGTGGCTGCAGTATGTAGCATCAGACAGATGGTTCTGGGGCCGATGGTCAAAGGAGCATCTCCTATAGTATCTCTTTTTTTTTTCCTTTCTCCACCAGTGGAGAAAAGCTGAAGTTTTATTATATATGCTAGCATGCTAGCCTTTAGGAGATGGGGTATGAGCTTCCCAAATCTGTATCAGCACAGGGAAGGTTTGGGTTGGAGGGGACATTTGTAGGTAGGTTAGGTTAAGAGCATGGGGAGGAGCACATGCTTATTCAGCTCTTTTAGGTGAGAAAAGCGGGGTTGTCTTTGGGAAAGGAGAGATTATGCAAACCATCAGCCTCCAGGATGGCATCTTTCTGCCCCGCTGTTCAGTCGTCACAGGCCACATGCTGTAGGTCTTCTTCCAAGATGGCGTGTGTCTGGTGAGGCACTTAGTCATCATGGAACACACTCCCTACAGATACCTGCCCTCCAGAAGGTCATGTAAGGGCCACTCTCTTGGCCCCTGAAGGCTCTTGGCAGAATTTAAAGTTGTTAGGAGGGAACACCCACAGGTGCCTCCGCTGCTCACATGGGGTGTGTTCCTGGGCCCTGAGAGCCCTGCATTGTCTGAATGAAGAGTGACGTCTTTTGAGCCTCGGTGCACTTGTACCTCTCCTCATTGGGCGGAGCTGTGGTCTGTTTTAGCAGCCCTGCAGGTATTGTACCTATAGGCTCAAAGATTTTGTTTTTGTGGGGGTTTTTTTGACAGTTTCTGTTAACATGATTTTGGCCGTTTAGCCATTTTTAAAAAATTAATTTTAATAAACATTTACAGAGATTTTGGATTTCCATTCATTCATTGCTGCACTTTTCCCCCTGCCCACCCCTCCCCTCCAATTCGTCCCTCTCTTTGAAAAGAAAAAAGAAAAGTTCCTTCATTGGTATATAATTCCCCGTTTAAGCCTTTTAAATGTATAATTTAAGTGCACTAATTAACCCAGATAGAGACAGGCTTGGAAGCAGGAGTGGCATCCACTTCCTAAACCACATGCCTCTGGAAACTAGGAACATAGAAACGATGATAGTTACAGAATAGGGTTCAGGTCTTTTGTTCATAGGGTCTCTATGAGTCTTGCTCAACTCAGCGACATTTAACAACAACAGCTATTATGTTAACAGTTTTGTTCTATAATCACTACTATTCTGTGGTTGAAAGATGAACAATCTCCTCCCATGTGATTGACAGCCCCTGAAAGCCTTCTGGGGGGGGGGTTAGCTGTCAGGCGGTTCTGACTCTAATGGCACACACCACCACCACCACCACCACCACCACAGTTTATTTCCAAAACTTTGAGTCACCCTAAACACTCAGTACTCATTAAGCAGTAACACCCTGTTGCCTTTCCCTGCACTCTCCCACCACAGTGCATCCCTGGTAGCCACTAATCTGTTTCTACTTCTGGGCATTTTCCATTTATTATAGATAAGGAAGAACCGACCACATTTGTCTTTTTGTGTATCTGGCTTCACTCAGCGTAGAATTATCAGGGTTAATTCATGCTGTATCAGAGTGCGTTTCTCTTCATAACTGAATAACCTTTTGTTATACTAGGATTGGTGGTGAGCAGTGGTGGAGTTCCCACCAGATCCAGCCCACTTCTGCCCAGTGCATCTCATCTGTCAGTAGTGGCTTGCATGCTGCTGTGATGATGAACAGCCGGCTTCAGTGGAGTTTCCAGACCGAGAGGGGCTAGGAAGAAAGGCTGGGATACTGACATGTGTAAATCCGTGGTGAAAACCCTTGGGGTCATGAGCGATCTGCATCTGACTGCGGCTGGTGCAGGGCCAGGGAGAGCTTAGTTCCCATATGCATGCAATCACCGTGCCATCGGGGCTGACTTGAAGGGAGTCAGCAACACCCTACAGTGCTCCATGTTTTGCTTGTCTGTTGGTTCATTTCTGAATAGTTGGGCTGCTTCCCCCGGTGATACTGCTGTGATGAACATTGGTGGTGGCCGCCCATGTTGGAAATGTGTTAGCTTGTCCCTGGTGAGGACATGGGGAAATGTTGATGTCAGTTGTCGGGTTGGTTTGAACCAGTTTCTTGATGTGGAGTCAGACCACTTGAGCTCCTGAAAAGGCCAGGCAGGGGCACCGATCACTGACGGGCTCATGTGGGGACTGACAGCTTTTGGTTGGGCTTTTCTCCATGACCCTGAAGAAAGCTAAGAGCAGTATCTTCATAATGAAAGTATTACCTCCACTTTCTCACCCCTATCTCCTTGAAAGTAGCAGTTGGGGAAAGAATAACAAGGTATAGTCAGTGGGCAAGAACACTGGTGGTTGAGGCCTGGGATTGCATTTCCCCACAATAGAAGGTGCCTGGTAAGCTCTGTAAGCTCATTTGGTCTGTCCTGTTTCAGCCTGCCTGCTTCACCCTGCTGTTAACAGTGTTGAAGGTGGAGGGCTTCGTCTTGAGGCCTCCTCAGGCTGACTTCATCACTCAGCACAGGTGACTTTGCTGAAGGTCCCCATCCACCCCTGGCCAATCTAGTTGCCTAGCCTCCACCCAGCTGGTCACTACAGCTGCCCATGGAGTGCAGGCTCACTTCAGCCAGTTGATAGTTTTCCTTCCCTTTCATCCTGATCTGATTTGACTTTTGTTTACCTTCTGGATGTCTAGGGAGATTTTAAGGGGGAGAAGAGGAATTTTTGAGCAGTATTCTGTTAAATAGAAATGTCTCCAGCTTGTTGGCAACTGAAAGAACGAAAGGTCATTTCTGGTCTATGTGAAGAATTTTTTGGAAGTGTAGCTTCTGGTGCATGGAAAGAGGCTCCCTGATCCCCTGTTCTTCAGCTAAGTTTTCCCTGGCCCCTCCTTTTTCTTTTA